AACCGGTTTACCTAGTGAGCGCCTAAACCCCTGTTTTTCTATATATGTTAAACATTCATTGTAAAAGTAATACCATTGACATTGGTTTATTAATAAAATTAATTTCCCCGAACATAGATAAGAGGGATTCCCTGCTCTGGGGCATTTGTCTATGTTCGGGGACATTTCCCCGAACATAGTGATGCGCACCAGAGCAGTGAATTCCTTTAAATCTATGTTCGGGGAAATGTTCCCGAGCATAGATTAGAGGAATTACCTGCTCTGACGCGTTCGTTTATGTTCAGGGAAGTTTCCCTAAACATAGACGAACGCACCAGTGCAGGGAATCCCCATGACAGCTCGCAGTAGGTTGCAAAACGAGGACCACCTGTATATGGCATTTGTTTATAACTTTTTTTTTTTTTCCTTTTAGGAGGGCTTGAGTATTGTGTAACTATGGGTATCTGAGATATAAATAAATTTCCGTATCCCTTATTTATATTGTTTCTAGTAAGGAAAATAGGTCATTAGTTCACATCCAGGCCATTTAAGTGGTGACAGAAAAAATAATAGTTTTATATATATATATATATATATAAATATATTTATATATATATATATATATATATATATATATATATATATATATATATATATATATTTATTAAAGTCATATATTTATTAAAGTCATATTTTTTTAGGAGAAAAAAACCCACACACATTACTTATGCTAATACCCCTTGAAACTTGTAGAATTTGTTTCACTAAATGTTGTTTGTAAATAATTTTGTGTTGTGAAGATCACATAAAATGTCAAATGTACAAACTTTTGTAAAATTATCTTCAGGGCAGACAGAGCATAACTTCCTAAAGTTGTGCACCATGATGTAGGAACTGTCACATCATAATTTATGTGGGTGTTATTAAGAAAATTGCATATTTTAAAGCAAAAAAAAGTTGAGCTGAAATAGCTGACTCAGATAATTGTCAAGTTTGACTTCTTTGGCCTGTAATTTGCAGTTCTCTCATAATATCAGCTCAATTTCTGATTTAGTAAATAAACGTATGTATCTTACTTCCTGCTTCCTTCAATATGTCTAACATATTTTACTATTTAACATGTACCTTTTACTAGTGGACTGAATACACATATATATTAAAAACACCCAAATAATGACACAATAGGGGAATATCCTTCAAGTGTCCTGGTATGAGGTGATCCAACTTTTACAGTGTAGGATAATAATTTAAATTATAGAAATGTTGCCAGTTAGTTATTCATTGTGGATAGAGCATCTCATATATATATAAAAATATTAATGTCAGTAAAGGTAGCTAACCCCAACTAATCAATGTTGTACTTGTGAGACATCGCTGAACACAAATATTAGTGTTTTAGCGCAGTACAACATATAATGACGATGATATAAATCAGTGATAGTGCAGTTTTTGTTAGACAAAAAAACAATTATGAATACTAACTTTGGCAAGTGTTTGTGACTAAGTGGCTACTTACAAAGACTGGACATACCCCATTTTGAACACCCTGGGTTGTCTACTTTTGCAAATGGTATGCCATGTTGAGCGTAATATTCATTAATGGGCTTCTTCTATACGGTCTCAAAGGCAACATGGGCCCAGCAAACCAATCTGGCAAATTTCAATGTGTAAAAACAGAAAAGGGCAAGCTCTTTATTTAACCCATTAACTTTCCAAAACACCATTAAACTTGTACATGGGGGCATCATTGTTCCCATGGGATATCAAAGCATGCAAATATATGTATTGTATCAAAGTAAAGGCTTACAATATCATTACATTCACAATTAAAATGCCATGCAGAACTTGGAAAATAACATGTCTAAATTTCTCACATTATTGTTTAGATTTTATTCATAGTAAATTATGTTTCATATATAAATATTTAATGTTAAATGAAAGGCATATTTCTCCTTAACAAAATGGTTTATAATAAATTGGGGTGCACTTAATATAAAAGAGGTGAATTTTGGTTGAAGACACATATAGCTCCAATTCTAGATTTGTTTTGGTTCAGAACTTGGACAATGGCCTCCATTCTTATTAAGGGGTAAAAGCAAATCATAAAAGTCAGAGAACTGAAACAAGATCTTAATCTAATTATAATATGGAAGAGCAAAATGATGTCAGTATAGATAGGGGAAACTATAAGGCATTGCAGATTACAATCAGTCCTTGCTGTAAAAGAGGGGAGTGGTGCATACTGCAGAGGGTTTTTTATTCTGATTACACTTCAAATTGTTTACAATGTAATAAACTGCGTTAAGCAAGCACACACACCCCAGCAGAAAGCAAAACTGAAATTCACATCATCACATGGGATGGAGCAGCAGGTTACCTGGCACTGCCACACATAATGGAATACAGCAGGATAGCTGAACTACGCCAGTTGCTCTAGTCTAAACAACGTTACGCTCCCATAGATGACACACCTTCCACATACCTTCTATGCCACAGGTTACCCATCCTTGGAATGTCAACCATCTGTTGGCCATTCCATGCCATGGGCTCTATTTACACTGCATTCCTGAAATAACGATGGCCACCTTCATCCTGCACATGTCCCCCATGGCTCACACAAACTCCAGATCTGCCTTTTAATGACATGAATCCTGTACCCAGCCCACCTCCTGCCATGCGGGAGCCCAAGTGCGGCTCTAGGTGCCCTGCTGAAACATTTGTGCCTCTCCTGGCCTCTGTCTACAGTCTCTGTGCACTTCTATTAACATGGCATGCCAACATGCTGCTTACCTGTTGCCTTCTGCTTACAATCCAGGGGAGGTTACCAGGGGAGCATGAGATCCTGTGAGCCAAACAGGTCCTACGCAGGAGAAAATATCCTTCAAGCCAGCCCTAATGATGGCTCTGGCAATCCAGCACACTGGGTCTGGTGTGAAGAGCTTGCTGTTATTTCCTAAACACAGCTTGAGTGTTGATCGCCAGGTACTCCAGTATTTTCACTGCACCGCTCTGCTGTACTAGCTGACTGCGACACTAGCGACATCTAGCGGGAGAGAAGATGAAGCTCAGCACCAGCTAGGCACTGAGCTCCCGCCCCATGGGCAGCAATGTTGTTGAATCTATTGTGCAAGAGAAGGAGGGATAGTTTGTTGCTCAGTATTTCCTTGTAATGTGATTCTTATTCTGCTTAACTGAGCATTCTATCAAGATGCTTAGGGTTATTTTGTGTTCTATACAAAAGTAATATATAATATACTCGCCTTAAAAACTATACTTTATTTTACACTCTGTATTGAGGTTAAAAAATTCAAGAAATTGTACATCTATCTGAAGAATAACTTCAATTATCTAAACAATGTTTAGAAATAGCATGCAACGTATAATTATCCATACCTGTGTTTATTTTAAACTTTGGGTTTAAAATGTTGAAGGAACACTAGTCACCTAAATTACTTTAGCTAAATAAATCAGTTTTAGTGTATAGATCATTCCCCTGCAATTTCACTGCTCAGTTCACTGTCATTTAGGAGTTAAATCACTTTGTTTCTGTTTATGCAGCCCTAGCCACACTTCCCCTGGTTATGATTGACAGAGCCTGCATGAAAAAAACAAAACTGGTTTCACTTTCAAACAGATGTAATTTACCTTAAATAATTGTACCTCAATATCTAAATTGAACTTTAATCACATACAGGAGGCTTTTGCAGGGTCTAGCAAGCTATTAACATAGCAGGGGATAAGAAAATCTTAATTAAACAGAACTTGCAATAAAGAAAGCCTAAATAGGGCTATCTTCACAGGAAGTGTTTATGGAAGGCTGTGCAAGTCACATGCAGGGAGGTGTGACTAGGGTTCATAAACAAAGGGATTTAACTCCTAAATGGCAGATGATTGAGCAGTGAGGCTGCAGGGGCATGTTCTATACACCAAAACTGCTCCATTAAGCTAAAGTTGTTCAGGTGACTATAGTGTCCCTTTAAAGATTATAACAATTGGGCATATAATCTAGTTAGCCCTGCAAGAATCCAAAGCACATCATGTGTTGTCTCTCCTTTTTGAGAATAGTGTATGATATAACATTGACCCTATACCTTGGTGGACTGGGTATCGCAAAAGTCAGGGCTTAGACTGAGATTGTGGCCCATGAAGTGGAATAGTACTGTAGTGTTAATTTAAGCAAACATCGCTGAATTAAAGGGTTTTAACTGGAAGTTAAGTACCTGAGTGTAGTTGACATACTAATAGATAAGATGTGGCATTTTTGGGTGTTTGTATAGAGTCTGCCTTGTCTTGTCTCTTTTACTGGTGGGGAAAAAAGTTTTGCTGGAAACATATAGTGACAGAAACATACTAAAGAGTAAATACATGTTATATAGTAGTTAAAGCATTTTAATTTAGTTTGTAGTAATTTTATTGTGAAGTGATATATTAGAACCTTTTTTAAATAGTCATGAAATATACTCATGACACTTTTTCAAATAGTCACAATATTCAGTTTGACATTAGCTTTAGTAAATCAAGTTCTCTGGCAAAATAAGAAAGGACTGATAGGAGTGTTTATATTATATAAAAACTGAACCAGGGTAGAGAATTAAATCTGGCACAATTTGGGACAAATTCAGAGTTTCAAATGTGCTATCATCTCAAATGACAAAAATATACCCTTAAGTGATTTAGACTGAAATGCCCACACATTGCGGCTGAAAGGAGCAAAAAAACTCAATAATAATGAATAATTTCTAAACTATTTAATAAATAATGGACCACCAGTACACATAGAGTTAAGAAACTTAAAGAACAAATAAATATGTAGAAAACTTAGCTAACCAATGAGGACTTCCATTCATTGACACCTTGGGAATCAAAGTGAGGGTTTGTGATTCTGAGTTATTTTAACTTAAAATTGTTGTCACTCTTACTGTGGTTCTGTGGGATGGGGAAAGTTTCTGTAAATGTGCACTCCATTGACCCATTTTGTTTTACATATTAGATCATCATTGAACTCTTTTTCCATCAATAATTATTTTAGTCAGTCTGTAGCCTCTGGAGTATTTCTAGTGTACGGAGTTTGAACTGGACATGTTTAACCCAGCACTGCCACAGTTAAAGTTCAGTTCAACTACTCACTGTTTAACTCTCTTTGCAGAAATTAAAATCGTCACAGTCATGAAATAACTGGATGACAAATCCATGGCCCTTGGTGATGCAACAAGACCTTACTCACTCTGAGTCTCTGACCCTTTCTTCTCTGATCAGACAGATCATGCTTGAATATTTCTCAAGTTCATATGATAAATGATGCAATATAATTTTTACCTTATATGTTTTTTCCATATCAATTTTTCTCTACTTCCTCAATTTTCCTAAAATATGTAATAATATTTATTTATAAAAATAGATATATGATAGACATTAGCTTACAATCATGAAAAACATAGTCTGTATCATGCATAAATCTGTCAGTCTGAAACTGCCTTTGCACAGGCCGTAGGATGGCTAAGTATTTGTAGCAGATTTCAAAGTTCTCTGTTCCCAGCCTCAAGTCTGCATAGAACAGAGGTTTCAGGGATTTGAAGTTCAGTTATTATTATTATTATTATGATATTTATATAGCGCCATCAAATTCCGCAGCGCTTTACAATGGGTGGACGAACAGACATGTAGTTGTAACCAGACAAGTTTGACACACAGGAACAGAGGGGTTGAGGGCCCTGCTCAATGAGCTTACATGCTAGAGGGAGTGGGGTAAAATGACACAAAAAGGTAAGGATAGTATTAGACTAGTGACAGTTGCAGAATAGGAATCAGTCAGGAGCTATTAACAGTTTTATTGATACGCTTTTATGAAGAAGTGGGTTTTCAGAAATCTACTTAAAGGGACACTGTAGGCATCCTGACCACTTTGTCTCATTGAGATGTGTGGGGGCAGTGTCACTGTCTCCTTAGCCCTGCAATGTTAAAAAAAAAGGTTTTGTCTTACGTAAAGTAAAAAAATGTAAAGCTTGAAATTTTGTATGAAAGTGTCAGGATAGGTGACCCTATCATGTACAGAATAGGTTAACAGTAAGAGAACAAGAGGAGAATATAAAATCAGAGTAAACGTGTTCCTGGACCTTAGAGTGGCCGGGCTTAACGTAATGCCTAAGGCAGACAAAATAGCAAATTTTAAAAAATGAGCCAAGGTCAGGAATTCCAAAGGTACACAAAACGATAAGGTAAGCCAAGGTCAGGGATACCAAATAATCAGAGAAGGCAAACAAAGCCGGCTTGGCTTCATGATATGAAAACACTATTGGGTAACAAAAACCACAACTGGGCACATATCGATCAGAAGAGATGAAATATATCAGGTAAGCTAAATTACTATTGGACAGCATTATCATCACGGTGCCAATTTACACAGGATGGGTGTTTCTAGGAAGCAGGTCCTGGATTATGAAAAAATTGACCTTTATTATAAAAATGTATTTCAATGTGGAGAGTTCCCTTTTTAAAACGATGATTTTTTTGGCATCACCAATTTCCAGTCTGTGCCTCCTCCTACGTCAATTCCACTTCCACCTCCCAAAATTCTGACCATTGCGGCTGTCACATTACTGCTCCAAGGGTGTACCACATCATTTCCCGTTTCCACCAGAAGAGTTTCGTGTGGCATTTTGCAGCCGCATTCTGATGTTGTTGTTACCTTAATGGCATCCATATTAACCACCGGAAACATTACTACAGCTATATTGGGCCTCCTGCTGACCTTAATAGTCCACTTACACTTTACTACACTTTACTAAATTGCTTACTTCCACCAGAATAGATCAGGTAACCATAATTAATGCAAGTGATAATAAAGACACTGAAAATAATCATAAAAAGGGAAGAAAGTAATAATATAAATATAAAAATATATACAAACACATACCGTGAAAGTGTAAAAATACATGAAATTATTAAAGACCAACTACATATGACATATATTTATGTACATATCTATTAAAAATACATATTAAAAACATTATTGAAATAGGGTTATATATATCAAAATCTATATTCAAGCAAAGAGAAAGGAGGGATTCCAACTCAAAACTCCACTTTATTTTATTTGTATTTAAAGGATAACTATAGTGTCAGGAAAACAAAGTGGTTTTGCTGACACTATAGTGCCCTGAGGGGTCCCCCTCCCGTTAGCGCTGAAGGGGTTAAAATCCCTTCAGCAGCTTACCTTATTCCAGCGCTGTTGACCTCTCCTCCCCCGCCGTCAGCTCCCTCTGCCGACGTCAGTGGAGCCGAATATGCATGCACGACAAGTGCCGCATGCGCATTCCAGCTGTCAACAGTAAAGCATCTCTCAATGCTTTCCTATGCACGCTCTGCGCGATGGAGGCATACTATGCCTCCAGCATTGCAGATGCGCCTCTAGTGGCTGTCCGGAAGACAGCCACTAGAGGCTGGCTTAAGCCTGCAATGTAAGCATAGCAGTTTGCATCTGCAGGGTTAAAACCTGAGGGACCTGGCACCCAGACCACTTCATTGAGCTGAAGTGGCCTGGGTGACTATAGTGTCCCTTTAACATTTTAAAGTGGTTATTCCCTCCTACCCCCCCCCCTCCAGGTTTATTTACCTTTTGTATACCAATAAAATGCAATTAATTAAAATCACCATGATGGGCTTGACTAAAATGAGCTGAAATTTAATTATTTACAACCTTATTCTTTTTACTATTTCTAATATGCTCATTTATTCTAGTTTTAATGGTTCTTCCAACATACTGTAAACCACATTTGGATGTTAGAAGGTATATCACATGGCTTGTATTGCACAAAATAAATGAATTCATATTATATTCCTTTTTAGTAGTTCTGGAAGAAAATCTCTCTATTTTTCTATTTTTAGCATTTGTAATCTGACAGGCTTTACAATGCCCACAATTATAAAAACAAAACAAAAAAAAACCCTTTGTTTAAAGGACCACTATAGTGCCAGGAAAACATACTCGTTTTCCTGGCACTATAGGGTCTCTAGGTCCCCCCCACCCTTAGGGTCCCCCTCCCCAGCTGGGCTCTAGGGTGAGGAAGGGGTTAAACACATACCTTTTCTCCACCACTGGGTTCCCTCGGCAGTGGGGACTCTCCGCCTCCTTTCCCCGTCATCAGCTGAATGTGCATGTGCGGCACGAACCGCGCACGCATCCAGCCAGTCCATAGGAAAGCATTTTCAATGCTTTCCTATGGACGCTGGCGTCTTCTCACTGTGAAAATCACAGTGAGAAGCGCCGAAGCGCCTCTAGCAGCTGTAAATGAGACAGCCACTAGATGCTGGATTAACCCATAGGTAAGCATAGTAGTTTCTCTGAAACTGCTATGTTTACAGCAGAAAGGGTTAATCCTAGATGGACCTGGCACCCAGACCACTTCATTAAGCTGAAGTGGTCTGGGTGCTTATAGTGGTCCTTTAACAAAAAGTTCCTATCGCCTACAGTCAGTGGTGTATCCTGGTTTTGTGCTGCCCTAGGCAGGACAAAACTCAGCCACCCCCACCCAACCCTTCCCCCCGCCCCACCTTCTAAATACACACACACACACACAGTCAGACACAAGCACACAGTCAGACACACACACACACAGTCAGACACAAGCACACAGTCAGACACACACACACACAGTCAGACACAAACACACACACACACTTAGTAACAGACACACACACACAGTCAGACACACACACAGTCAGACACACACACACACACAATCACTCACATTAACACTTTTTTTATTATTATTTAACCCCCCCTCCGCCTCCTTACCTTTGGGAATGCTGGGGTGGTTCTCTATCTCACTGGGGGTCCAGTGGCTGCCGGTCATATCCCGGCTCCCAACCTCACTCTGTGGCGCGCGAGGGAGCTGAGCAGACAGCTCAGAGGAAGTGCTCCCTCGCCAGCCGCCCGCCCAGCATGTCAGTTAGTCACGAGGCTAACTAGGCATTTGCCTTGGGCATTTGGGGGCAGCGTTTTTGCCGCCTCCTGAAAAATGCCACCCAAGGCAAATGCCTTGATTGCCTCGCGGCTAATACGTCCCTGCCTACAGGCTCTTTTAAAATACAGCTTTTTGTTAAAATTTGTAAATTACTTGCTCCCCTGTATACTATTTTTTATTTCTCCAATACATACATTCAAATCCTGATTTTGTTTCAGGATCTGCCAATGCTTATTTAAAATCCTTTTAAGAATATGGCTTTGAGAGCTAAGATCAGCAATAAAACTCACGTGTTAACTTAATAAATTACTATTCTTTTCGTTATATACTTCTTTTTATATCCTTATTGACAAAATAATTTTTTAAAAGGGGCTTAAAACCCACACATCATCTGTAAAATCTCTCCTGAACCTTGTTAATTGTCCCTTCGGAATATTGGTTAAAGGACCACTATAGTCACGCAGACCACTAAAAAAAGCAATTAGTGTAAAAAATAAATAAATAAATATATATATATATATATCTATATATATATATATATATCCATATACAAAATTACATAAATAATTTCATAAATTCTATGTGCATATTTATGTAATATTTTCACATAATTAAGTTATTTTATTGATTGCAATTTGAGGGATCTGCCTGACAACGCAGGCCAAAATTCCAGAGAATGTAATTTGCTAGCACTGTGTTTAACCCTGTAACTTTCTGTGACACCCTAAAACCTATACATTGGGGGGTACTGTTTTACTCGGGAGACTTCACTGAACACAAATATTAGTGTTTCAAAACAGTAAAACATATCACAGCGATGATATTGTCAGTGAAAGTGATGTGTTTTGCATTTTTCACACACAAACAGCACTTTCACTGATGATATTGTTGTGATACGTTTTACTTTTTTGAAACACTAATATTTGTGTTCAACAAAGTCTCCTGAGTATAACAGTACCCCCTCCCCCCCATGTATAGGTTTTATAGTGTTTTTGAAAGTTACAGGCAGTGGCGTCGCTGGGGGGGGGGGAGGGGGGCAGTGGGGGCAATGGCCCCCCTACTGCATGATGTGCCCCCCCCTGGTCACCCCAAATGACAGCAACTTGCTGGCCATGTGCTTAAATTATATTACCTCGGACTGTAACAATGTGTTACAGCCCGAGAGAATGCAGGAAAGAGGAGTTAGAACACTGCATTGGTGTTTTCAGCAGCTTCCCTGGCACAGGCACAGGTCCCGCCCCCAAACAAAGCCCCGCCTCCTGCACATAAGCCCCGCCCGGCCGTTAAGCAGCAGGCCTTGCTGCTGCTGGAAAGGCCAGAAGATGGCTGTCTGACCCCCAGCAACAGGTAGGCTTGATATGCTCAGGTGTGTGTCTGTGTCTGTCTGTCTGCTAGTGAGGAAGTTTGTGTGTGTGTATGGACTCAGCAGTCTGTGTGTGTGTATAGACTCAGCAGTCTGTGTGTGTGTGTGTGTGTATATGGACTCAGCACTCTGTGTATGGACTCAGCAGTCTGTTTGTGTGTGTGTGTGTGTGTGGACTCAGCAGTCTGTGTGTGTGTGTGGACTTAGCAGTCTGTGTGTGTGTATGGTCTCAGCAGTCTGTGTGTGTGTGTACTCAGCAGTCTGTGTGTGTGTGTATTCAGCAGTCTGTGTGTGTGTGTATTCAGCAGTCTGTGTGTGTGTGTACTCAGCAGTATGTGTGTGTGTGTATGGACTCAGCAGTCTGTGTGTGTGTGTATGAACTCAGCAGTCTGTGTGTGTGTGTGTGTGTATGGACTCAGCAGTATGTATGTGTGTATGGACTCAGCAGTCTGTCTGTGTGTATGGACTCAGCAGTCTGTATTTGTGTATGGACTCAGCAGTCTGTGTGTGTGTGTGTGTGTATTTACTCAGCAGTCTGTGTGTGTGTGTGTGTATGGACTCAGCAGTCTGTATGTGTGTATGGACTCAGTAGTGTGTGTGTATGGATTCAGCAGTCTGTATGTGTGTATGTATGGATTCAGCAGACTGTATGTGTGTATGGACTCAGCAGTCTGTGTTTGTGTGTGTGTGTATTGACTCAGCAGTCTGTGTGTGTGTGTGTGTGTGTGTGTGTGTGTGTATGGACTCAGCAGTCTGTATGTGTGTATGGACTCAGTAGTGTGTGTGTATGGATTCAGCAGTCTGTATGTGTGTATGTATGGATTCAGCAGTTTGTATGTGTGTATGGACTCAGCAGTCTGTGTTTGTGTGTGTGTGTATGGACTCAGCAGTCTGTATGTGTGTATGGACTCAGCAGTCTGTATTTGTGTATGGACTCAGTAGTGTGTGTGTATGGATTCAGCAGTCTGTATGTGTGTGTGGACTTGGCGGTCTGTATGTGTGTATGGACTCAGCAGTGTGTGTGTATGGATTCAGCAGTTTGTATGTGTGTATAGACTCAGCAGTCTGTATGTGTGTATAGACTCAGCAGTGTGTGTGTGTATGGATTCAGCAATCTATGTGTGTGAGGACTCAGCAGTCTGTATGTGTGTGTGGACTCAGCAGTGTGTGTGTATGGATTCAGCAGTCTGTGTGTGTGTGTGTGTGTGTGTGTGTGTGTGTGGACTCAGCAGTGTGTGTGTGTGTGTGTGTGTATGGACTCAGCAGTCTGTGTGTGTATGGACTCAGCAGTCTGTGTGTGTGTGTGTGTGTATGGGCTCAGCAGTCTGTGTGTGTGTGTGTATGGACTCAGCAGTCTGTGTGTATGTGTTTGTGTGTGTATGGATTCAGCAATCTGTGTGTATGGACTCAGCAGTCTGTGTGTGTGTGGACTCAGGAGTCTGTGTGTCTGTGTGTGTGTGTATGTGTGTGTGTATGTACTCAGCAGTCTGTGTGTGTATGGACTCAGCAGTGTCTGTGTGTGTATGGACTCAGCAGTGTGTGTGTGTGGACTCAGCAGTGTGTGTGTGTGTGTGTGTGTGTGTGTGGACTCAGCAGTCTGTGTTTGGACTCAGCAGTCTGTGTTTGTATGTGTTTGGACTCAGCAGTCTGTGTGTGTGTGTGTGTATGGACTCAGCAGTCTGTGTGTGTGTGTGTGTATGGACTCAGCAGTCTGTGTGTGTTTGTGGACTCAGCAGTCTGTGTGTCTGTGTATGTACTCAGTCTGTGTGTGTGTGTGTATAGGGACTCAGCAGTCCATGTGTCTGTGTTTGTATGGACTCCGCAGTCTGTGTGTGTAAGGACTCAGCAGTCTGTCTGTGTGTATGTGTATGGACTCAGCAGTCTGTGTGTGTGTATGGACTCAGCAGTCTGTGTGTGTGTATGGACTCAGCAGTCTGTGTGTGTGTATGGACTCCGCAGTCTGTGTGTGTGTGTGTGTGTAAGGACTCAGCAGTCTGTCTGTGTGTAAGGACTCAGCAGTCTGTCTGTGTGTATGTGTATGGACTCAGCAGTTTGTCTGTGTGTGTGTATGGACTCAGCAGTCTGTGTTTGTGTCTGTGTGTATGTATGGACTCAGCAGTCTGTGTGTGTGTGTATGAATGAACTCAGCAGTCTGTGTGTATGGACTCAGCAGTCTGTGTGTATGTGTGTGTGGACTCAGCAGTCTATGTGTCTATGTTTGTATGGACTCAGCAGTGTGTGTGTGTGTGTGTGTATGGACTCAGCAATCTGTGTGTGTATGGACTCAGCAGTCTGTGTGTCTGTGTGTGTGTGTGTATGGTCAGCAGTCTGTGTGTCTGTGTGTATGGTGTATGGACTCAGCAGTCTGTGTGTTAGTGTGTGTATGGACTGTATCAATGGAAATGTGCTTGTTTTTTTAATAATCCTTGGTGGAAAATAATGAATTCTCCACCAGGGATTATAGAAAACAAAACAAAAAACACATTGTGTCGGGGGCAGGGCGTAACATGCGGCAGGGGCGGGGTCGAACTGCAGTGAGGGCGGGGTTAAATGTGCCCCCCTACTTTTGTCCCTGGCCCACCATGTGTCCCCCCTAAAAATGAATCCAAGAGACGCCACTGGTTACAGGGTCAAATATAAGGCTTGATTTTCTTTTTTTTTTTTACATAGAAATTTGCCAGGTAGCCCAGGAATGAGAATTACCCCCATAATGGCATACTATTTGCAAAGACAACACAAGATATTGTAAATGGGGTATGTTCAGTCTTTTTTAGTAGCCACTTAGTCACAAACACTGGTCAAATTTAGCGTTCATAATTGTTTTTTGCATTTTTAACACAAAAATATAAATGCTAAATTTGGTCAGTGTTTGTGACAAAGTGGCTACTAAAAAAGGAAAAAAGAAGGGAGGAGTTATGGAGTGGAATAAACCACCACCACTGCCCCGAGAAGGTTACAGGAGGTATAGGGGGCTTAACCCCAGGGAATTGCAACAAAATCCAACCCATTCAGTAATACCTCCTAATGTAGAAAGTCACATGGATTGGGTAAATAAACCTTTGTTTGTGACAAGGGTGAATGCTTTACCTATGGTACATTAATATACTCTAACTACCTTCCATTCTCCACTTTATAGGGAGGTATTGGTAATACCTAGACACCTCAGGACTTAGTCTGGGCGCCTATACCTGTGACTACAGTTCTGCCCTTTTCTGTTGTCGGCACCATAACCACTGACAGACACTTACTATCCCATTAGCGCTATTTTTTCTTCAACTGTATGACTAGACTAGACCGTGCGTGTTGTCACATATATACTAGGTTATTTAGGTGACTCCACTCTGACCGTCTAGAGGCATATATTATCTACTCACCTGAACCTTATATTTAGTAATGTGACTTTCTAGGATTAGCCTGCCCAGGTTTTATAGGTGTTGGTGTTCACTCTATCACTATTTATACACATTGTTTTGGTGTATATAGTACCATTATTATTAATTTTTTTGCATTTTTTTTTCTAATAAAGGTTTATTTACCCAATCCATGTGACTTTCTACATTAGGAGGTATTACTGAATGGGTTGGATTTTCCACCTACTTTGTGTGAGTGGATCCTCTACCCCATTTTTCTTCGTTCTCATTGTTGGCTACTAAAAAAAGACTAGACATACCCCATATTGAATACCCTGGGTTGTCTACTTTAAAAAATATGTACATGTGAGGTGTTATTCGGAGATTTATGACAGATAACAGTGTTACAATGTCACTATTGATATATTTAAAAAATATATATTTTGAAACAGCAATTTCCTACTTGTACCCTTATCGTACAACATGACCAAAACAGTCTGTTCCTTAAGGGGTTAAACAAGGAGATAAATGACAACTACTTTTGTTTATATAGTTATCAATATCTACCTTGTTAAAATCAGTACTTGTTTTAATAGGATCTGACTATAAAAAAATTTTTATTTAAAAAAGGAACTTCCTGGTTACTAATTTCAGAAGTTAATTTTATACCCCAGGAGTTTTAAATTTAAAAATTTTAATGTAAAAAAGTTAGTTTAGAGAGGCACAGAGGCTCTCCATGTACACGTCATCAATTAATCTTTTATAGAGGACCAAAATTGCTGTCCAGTACGACCTAAATAAGTAAAAGATTGTTCTCAATAAGTAAAATTGGTTCTCACAAAGGAGAACTAGTTGGTCGTACTGAGGAGACTTACATAAGGGGGTAACCCATCTAATAACAACTAAATTAACAAGTAAATTTATGATACATACATATAATACTCTCTTCTTGCCGCAAAGCATGGATAATTTGTTTTTTTCATATAGCTTCCAGAAATTGCTACACATGCTTGCTTAAAGGAATACTATAGCATTATAAATACCTAATGCTATATAGTGTTGCAACATAATTTTAGGTTTAGTGTTCACCTTATTATGTAAGATAAATAATTTTTACTTACCTTTCTTCCCTAGGCATGCAGGTCTCACCGCAGTCACCCTTCCACTTCTTGTTGTGATCATCAATACTGATGATCTCAGTCAATCCAATGCTTTCCCATGGGGAAGGTGTTATGTTTCAGGAATGTTAGACAAGATGGAGGAACACAACTGCAGAATTAAAAGATAGTACTATACCTTTAAGAAAAGTAAAAATAATTTACTTAGGATTCCTTGAGAGATTTTATTTATCTTTAGTGAATTTAAGTTGAAGACAAATAACATTACTTAATTGCAGTTTGGCATGTAGTAAGAAAAAAGACTTTGCCCTAATGTTCTGGTTGCAACAAATGTAAAAAAGAAAAAGTAACAATGTCCTTAATTATGCAAAGTAGGAGTTAGAATGTCGCATAGGAATTAGTTTTGAATAGACTGTAGAAATGTAACAATTCTTTAAGTAGTAACAGAAGTTCTTAATAACTTGATTAGTTGATAAGTGGCACATAGAATTATATGCAGAGTTGCAGCAATAATTAGATTTGATAAGTGGCACATAGAATTTGATGAGACTTACATGCAGAATTGCAGCAATAAGTAAATTGATAGATAAAATTTAGTGATACTTATGGTTTTCCATGAAACTCCTGTGGATTAAGTTATCAGTAGATTTTGAAGGGATTAATATGTATCCAGGTATTTTAGTAGTAACAGTCCAGTTTGTTTGAAAGTTAATAAATTCAGGAGTCCGTCCTGGTCTGGTAGTAGATGATGACAGCGTGGTATAGTTTTCAAAATAAGTAAGAGGTACTTCAGTGTGGAGTCCGAGGTTGCAGTATTCAAACAAGTAAGAGGTAACTCAGCGAGGAGTCCGAGGTTGTGGAAATTTTTTAGCGAAGTAAGAGGCAGCTCAGCGTGGGTCCGAGGTTAGGACAGACTCACTCAGCAATTTGGAGTTTGGGGTGGCTTCCCTATAAGGCAGGTCAGTGGAGCATCATATAGATGGGAGGAGCTTACTTCCGAAAGCGGAAGTGACCTCGGGAGAATGGAGTCACGGAAAGTTATGACAGAAGGATGGGGGGGGTGGACTAGTGCGCATTTGTGCAGTAATCACTAATTAACATCTCCATATATATGAATTCAGACGGCGCATCTCTATCGGGAGCGTTCAGCAGGACCACTTCTAGGTTGTCCCTCTAGTGGCTGTCCTAGTGACAGCCATTAGAGGTGGTGTTAGGCAGCAGTGTAAACACTGCCTTTTCTAAGAAAAAGAAGTGTCTACAATGCTCAGTATGCAAAGCCAAGCTGTATGCCCCAGAACCACTACATTAAAGGTCCACTATAGTGCCAGGAAAACATACTCGTTTTCCTGGCACTATAGTGCCCTGAGGGTGCCCCACCCTCAGGGAACCCCTCCCGCCGGGTTCTGGGGAGAGGAAATGGGTTAAAACGTAACTTTTTCCAGCGCTGGGCGGGGAGCTCTCCTCTTCCGATCCTCCTCCGTTCCTCCCATTTGGCTGAATGCGCACGCGCGGCAAGAGCTGCGCGCGCATTCAGCCGGTCGCATTTACAATGCTTTCCTATGGATGCTTGCGTGCTCTCACTGTGATTTTCACAGTGAGAATCACACAAGCGCCTCTAGCGGCTGTCAATGAGACAGCCGCTAGAGGAATTGGAGGAAGGATTAACCCATTTGTAAACATAGCAGTTTCTCTGAAACTGCTATGTTTATAAAAAAATGGGTTAATCCTAGCTGGACCTGGCACCCAGACCACTTCATTAAGCTGAAGTGGTCTGGGTGCCTAGAGTGGTCCCATCCCGCATGACATGCTAAATACTTTCTGGATCAAAGGGGGCCTAATTACCAGGCGCATACAGTATTCACACAAAAGCTACTGGGATTTATCCTGTTGCACAACTATTTTTTTTTTACAATGAGTTCTACCACCAGTTGAGCGGTACGGCGATGTGCCCCCTTGTATGCCAACCTCCACTTAGGTTGGTGGGAATAACAACTTGTGAAGTCAGATATTTTGGCCCAGTACTCTTCCAAAATATACGCATTGTGACACTGTATCGATGACATCTTAGTTGTGTGGCAGGATATGCCCGGGGAGTTTAATGACTTTGTCTCTATTCTGAATGTCAATGAGGAGAATCTGAAATTTACATCGGAGTGTCTGGCAGCACCTTACTGAACTTCCTCGCCTACTTAACATTCTCTATCGCTGAAGATGGTTCACTTCAAACTACGCTCTTTAGGAAATCCTCGGCTTCCAATGCCCTCTTACAGTGATACAGTTTCCATCCAAAGCCTCTGAGGTGAGGTGTACCTGTTGTCCAATACCTCGGAGTACAAAGGAAGTGTAGTGATATTAATGACTTTAAGATCAAGGCCAAACTACTTATGCAGAAATCTAAGGATAAGGGTTATCCTAACAGATGCCTTAAAAGGGTCTACAAGAGGGCTTTGGAGGCCTGACAGAAATGAACTTTTGGTGGATCGCCCTTGAGGGAGAATGCCAACAACAAAACCATCAGGATGATAGCAACATATGATGCAGGATGGAGTGAGGTTAATCAATCTATTCAAAGATTCTGGCCTATTTTAATGAATCACATCCACCTGAAAGCGGTCCAGGGCCCACAGGTGGATATTACAGTATGCAAGGGTAGGAACTTTAGGGACATTTTATTCCTGAGCCACTTCCAACCTAAAGTAAGACCAATATGCACATGGCTAAGAACCCCCCCCTGTGGCACCTATAGATGCGGGTAAATGTGTAGCATGTAAGTTCATCCAACATGACTCAAAGAATGTAACAAATAGTTAAGGGCATCCAACCTTCAATATTGCACATCTCTTTAACTGTAGTACTGTGGGTTTTAAAGCTTGAGATCTGAGCGGGGTCCCACCGAAGGGCAGGCTAATTAAGCTGTTGTCTGTTCTCACCTCTCTTGCTACTTGTTTTTATCTCCTTAAGTTTAAATGGAAACCCAGACGTGGACCCTTTGCTCACGGTGCCTAGAGGGATATTGGCTATACCTCACTGATGATACATTACAAGGTTGAAATGATCGTCTGGGATTGCTTTATTTCTCGTGCAGAGTGAACTTGCTGGCATTTTGGATCTGGACTGCCCGTACGGGTGGGACCAGTCTGATATGATTTAGATATTTTCTCTCTGTAATGGCACAGGATGAGCTAAAACCAGTTTGAGATCTGATCGGGGACCCACTGAAGGGCAAGCTAATTGAGCTGTTGTCCGTTCTCACCTCTCTTGCTACTTGTTTTTCTCTCCTTAAGTTTAAATGGCAATCCAGACATGGACCCCTTGCTCATACAGCAAGTGCAACACAGATCAGGTACTCAGACATGAAAATAAGCTCAAAGGGTGGCTACTGTAAGTTGCACCTATTAGTAGACCATCAGGCTATAGCTAAATGCCCAAAACAGTTCATCTGCGGAGTGTTAAATATTTTACCCTAGGGGGCTCTTGTGGCATTAGGGATATGTCAATTCCTTAAACTGAGAGAGCTGTGGTAAGTTAGAGAATGCTTTTTAGGACAGAGAAAAGTATGAGACAGCTGTAACATGAATTAAACAAGAAAACGACAGCAATATTTTAGGCAGATAGTGAGATGAGGTATTGCCAGGCATTTAGTATTCACTAAAGTAAGAATTCAATAAATTTTAAATTTAAGGGCAAAGAAGCTAAACTAACAGCTTAGCTAACTTAGAATTGTACCACTTCGGCTATTTTAATCTTAAATTTGATGTGTGCAGTAAGTTGTGTTTGTTAGTGGAGCGTGCAGTGAGTGTCAGTGAGGGGAGTGGGCATTAAGTATGCATCTGTTGAAAATGTGTGTGATGTGTGTCTGTGTAAATTAGTGGGAGTGTACAGAGGAATTTTATGCGTGAGGGAGTTTGCAGTTAGTGCAGTGAATCTGTGTGTTTGTGTGTAGTGAGTTTGTTTGTGTGAGATGGGATGTGCAGTAAGTCCAGGGCCGTCTATAATATGATTAGGACCCTGGGCAATGCATTTTCTTGGGCCCCATGGGCCCTGTCCCTGCCACTGCCTCACCCCCCAATTACGTCCAACCCGCAATCACACTGACAGACGTACTGGCACATACACACACAGACAGACATTAAAACATTCACAGATACATACTGACACACAAAGTCACTACACACAAATATATACTGGCAGACATACTGACACACACACAGACATACATACATACACAAACACATACATTAACAGATATACTGACACACACACAAACACATACACTGACAGATATACTAAAACACACAGACACATACACTGACAGACACATTGACACACACACACAGGCATACTGACATATACACACTCACACACACACACAGGCATACTGACATATACACAGACAGACGTAATGGCTGATACAGACAGACATTAAACATTCACAGATATATACTGACACACACATACACTGACATACAAATATATCCTGGCAGACATACTGACACACACACAGATATACATACATACACACACAGACACATACACTGACAGACATACTGACTGACAAACACATACACAGACAGACATACTTACATACACACACAGACATACTGACACACAAAGACATGCTGACACACACACACAGACATACTGACATACACACAGACAGACTGGCACATACACACAGACAGACATAAAAACATTCACAGATACATACTGACACACACATACACTGACACACAAATATATCCTGGCAGACATACTGACACACACGTACACACACACACAGAGACATACCTACATACACACACACAGACATACTGGCATACACACAGACATACTGACACACACACACACAGACATACTGGCATACACACAGACATACTGACAAACACACACACACACACACACTGACATACACACAGACATACTGGCATACACACAGACATACTGACACACACACACACACTGACATACACACACAGACATACTGGCATACACACAGACATACTGACACACACACAGACATACTATACACACTGACATACACACACAGACACACACACACAGACATACTGACACACACACACAGACAGACATACAGACACAACACACACACAGACATACTACACACAGACACACACACACACAGACCTACTGACATACATTTAGCCACCCTCCAGGTTCTTACCTTTTTCTGGAGGGTGGTTTCCCTGGTCCAGTGGCAGGCTGAGGCAGATGGGAGTTCTCCTCTGGAACTCCCCTCCTCCCTGCCTTCCTCCTCCCGCGCGGCTATCTCCGGTGGGAGGAAGTGACGTCACTTCCTCCCAGCCGGCTGCAGAACCGGAAGAGGGGCCCGGTCGCGCTGTTTAAGCGCCACAGCGCCCGACCGGGCCCCTGCTGACACATGCTCCCCGGGTGGCCCTTAGTGCATGGGCCACCCGGGGAGCCTCCTCAGTGTGCGGGAGCCGCACCGCAGGGGCTGCGCAAATCGCGGGGCCCACAGAGCAGCTGCTCTGGGCCCCCAGGAGCAACTGGGCCCGGGGCAGCTGCCCCGTTTGCCCTGCGTTAAAGACGGCCCTGAGTAAGTCTGTATTTGAGGGTGTGTGTGTGTGTAGTGAGCTTGTGTGTGTGAGATGGGGTGTGCAGTAAGTCTGTGTTTGAGGGTGTGTTTGTGTGTGTGAGATGGGGTGTGCAGTAAGTCTGTTTGAGGGTGTGTGTGTACTGAGTTTGTGTGTGTGAGATGGGGTGTGCAGTAAGTCTATGTTTGAGGGTGTGTGTGTGAGATGGGGTGTGCAGTAAGTCTGTGTGTGGGGGTGTGTTTGTGTGTGTGTGTAGTGAGTTTGTGTGTGTGAGATGGGGTGTGCAGTAAGTCTATGAGTGTGTTAGTGGAATGTGAAGTCGGTCTAGGTTTAAGAAGTGAGTGCACAATGTGACTGTGCAGTAAGTCTATCAGGGTTATTCACTAAACACCTGATTTTGTCCATTTCGGAATGGAAATCCTCATATTTACTGAAACTAATGCTGGTCGGAATTCGGTCAGCCTTGACAGAATTTGCAACAATTGTATGAATGCATTTAAAAATATGTAAATAAATTAAGTCAATAATAAATTAAGTCAAACAACATGTGGTGGCCAATATAATTCCCATATTAGTATAAGGACCAGTATGCATTAACTCTGAGTGTTAGTGGGAAATGGGAATGTGCAGTGAGTATGTGTGTGGATTAGTAAGAGGGTGCAGCGTGTCTATGTGTTAGTGGGAATGTGCAGTGAGTATGAGTGTGAGTTACTGGGAAAGTGTCTTGAGTCTGTGTGTGTTAGTAGGAACGTGCATTGACTCTGTGTGCGGGTTAGTGAGAGGGTGCATTGAGTTTGTGTGTGCTAGTGGGAGTATGCAGTGAGTCTGTGTGTGTGTGAGTGTGCAGTGAGTATATGGGTTAGTGGTAGTGTGTAGTGAGTGTCTGTGTTAGTGGAAGTGTGCAGTCAGTCTTTGTTAGCAGGAATGTGTAGTGAGAGTGTGAGTTAGTGGGATTTTGCAGTGAGTCTCTGTGTGTGTTAGTGGCAGTGTGAAGAGTTTGTGTTAGTTGGAGTGTGCAGTGAGTCAGTGTGTGTGTGTTACTAAGACTGTATAGTGTGTGTGTTAGTGGGAGTGTGCAGTGAGTCTGTGTGTGTTAGTGGGAGTTTATAGTGTGTGTGTGTTAGTGGGAGTGTGCAGTGAGCCTGTTTAACAGTGTGGTGAATCTGTGTTTGTGTTAGTAAAATTGTATAGTCTGTGTGTTAGTAGGAGTGTGCAGTGAATCTGTGTGTATGTTAATGGGAGTGTATAGTGTGTGTTAGTGGGAGTGTATAGTGTGTATGTTAGTGGGAATGTATAGTGCGTGTGTTAGAGGGAGTGTGCAGTGAGTCTGTTTTAGGAGTGTGTAGTGAGTCTCTGTGTGTGTGTGTTAGTAAGAGTGTATAGTGTGTGTGTTAGTGGGAGTGTGTAGTGTGTGTGTGTTATTGGGAGTGTATAGTGTGTGTGTGTTAGTGGGAGTGTGCAGTGGGTCTGTTTTAGGAGTTTGTAGTGAGTCTGGACTCTGTGTGTGTGTTAGTAAGTGTGTATAGTGTGTGTGTTAGTAGGAGTGCGCAGTGAGTCTGCGTGTATTGCTGGGATTGTGTAGTGTGTGTGTTAGAGGGAGTGTGTAGCGAGTCTGTTAGGAGTGTGCAGGGTGTCCGTGTGTGTGTGTGTGTGTGATGCTGCCAGCAGATAGAGTGTCCAGTAAAGTAGCCTGCCTGGCATTGCGTGGCTGAATGCCTGGTGTCAGGTGACCGGCTCACGCAGTATCTGCATTCACTGTCGGCATTGGGATCTGGGGAAGGACAGCGGCTGCAGCTCGGGCGGAAAAAGTGTGACCAGAACCCGGGGCGACCCACTGCCAGCCTGGGTCACAGCCACGCACCATGAACCAAGGACTGCACGGGAAAATACAGCAACAGGAGGAGGAGGAGGAGGAGGATGACGAGGAAGATGACATAGTGAGAATCTCAGATTATGGGGAGGAAGACCTCCTCATGGACGAGGACCCGGGGACCAGCGAGGGGGAGGAAGAAGGTACAATGTCTGGAGTATCCCTGGGGATAGCATGGTCTGCTGGCAGTGTCTGGGCATGTGGGAGGCTGGGTGGGTAACAGGGCACACACTATAATACGCACCCTGTGCTATGTGCCCATATAGCTGTCTGAGGAGAATAACTAGAAACACATTGCATTTAATGAATAGTCTGGGAGTTTTACTTGAATACAGCCCCATGACCTCTGGAGCACCAGGAGGCTGACATCTTTGTTGTGGCATTCCATCCCTAGCCCCAGGCACAGTGCAGTATGATTAGGGCAGAGCTGGTGCTTGCTGGCTCCATGAGGCTGGTCTGGGGCTGTCAGGGACAGCTGTGAGTGTGACAGCTGACAGGCTCCCTCCCTACACAGGAGTTACCAGATCAGTCATGTCTTCATGGACCCATCTATATGTGTGGGTGTTACATGAAAAGTGCTACCCCTGCAAACTCAGCTGCTGCAAGATTCCAAAGTCAACAATGGAGTTTATTCACTAAACAGCAGTTTGCAGTGAATTGAAAACTGAACTGCAAACCTTAGGATAAAATAGATACTTTTGGAAAACAAAAAAAAAGAAATCAGGCGCAACAAGCAATTTGGTTTTATTTCACTACATTCCTGTATTTTGTGCATAAAGCCATCATGACCATATTTTGCTCATGGTGTAATTGATAACTTTTCATGTGCTGCCTCTCAATGTGTATAATTTATATGTGACCTGAAAACAACCCAGGCGGAGTACTCTTTCCTGATAGTGATAATGGATATTGGTGCCTTATTCTAGTCAACTGTTTTTTTTATTAAAAGTCTTTCGTCCAAATGTTCATAATTAAACAATACAATCATTATAAACAATCACACAATTAGCACAACACTATTAAATATACATTAAAGGTGTATATTATTAACTATATGACATATGATATAACAGGTCAACTATAGATCTTAATAATAGTTAACACACGCGTTTTAACTTTGATCTTTCCATATGTTCCCTTCCAGTGATATTTTAATTGGTCTATAAAAGATGGTTGTCTAAGGGCCATTTCGTAGCAATTATTTTTTTAGTAGCATATACAAAACCTCTTCCGGACATGGCATATTTGGTGTTTTCCAATACCTGGGAATAAAGGATATTACAGCTATCAGAATATGACTTATAATGATAATCTTGTCTATTTTATTAGGGTTGTCTGAAATCTTTTTAAATAGACATAATTCTTGTGTCAGTATCGTAATTGATGGGTCAATATTCTTTATTATATTATGCACATCTGTTCAGAATTATTGGAGCCTAGGCCAAAACCACCAGATGTGGGACAGTGATCCAAACTGACCACATCCACGCAAGCACTTATTAGAAATGATGAGGTTAATTTTATGTAGTCTGGATGGGGTCAGTTACAACCTATAAACTATTTTATTTTGAGCACTGCGTTATTCCCTTTAATGCAAGCAGAGTGTAGCTCCAGTCCTCCTAAACCATATCTTTATTGAGATCTCTCTCCCATGCCACCATGAAATTCATTTAAGAAGGTAGGCCTTGATGTTACATATGAATGGCATAGAGAATTGTAAGGTTCTTATCCCAGATCAGAGTGCTTTGAGAATCCGGTTTGGCTCACAGATTTAATATATTGGAGAATTCAGATTTGGTGCCTTATTTGAAAGATAACATTAATCTAAATTGTTAGGGTTCAATGAACAATAATTTTGCAGATTTTAGACTAAAATTAAAAATAAAGTAATTGTTCTTATAATTTTGCAGCTGCCCCATGAGGATCAGAGACATATAGGTGTGCTATAATATTGATAGTATTACTAAACGTCAGGTCCTTGACTTGGCACTCCAGACACCTATACAAATCAAGTGCAAACTGTAGGTCAGAGAAAGAACAGTTATGCTGTGTGTATATTGTTTTTATTAATCTTTCTATTTTTTTTATTATTGATTTTCTTTATAAAACTTAGTTTTTTCCCCATGAGTACACCCTTTTTGCCTCTCCTTGGCTAACTCCTATTTGGAGTGACTTTTAAAGGCTTAATAAAATCTTGCATGCAGATGCTGGGAAATGTGAAAATGTTCCCTGTTCTATATTTATATATTTTTTTACATCTATGTTTTACGTCTCTTTGCTGTTCATTGTGCGCAGAGAAACTCTGGAATTGTGCCTATTAATTATCACATTTCAGATTTCATTGGGATAGTTCACACTTTATTTTTTAAAACCCAAGGTTATAGTGTGCTTAAAATAAAGTGGCAAACATGCCCATGTGTATCAATCTAAGACAATTGCGTGGCCTTAAAGGACCACTATAGTGCCAGGAAAACATACTCGTTTTCCTGGCACTATAGTGCCCTGAGGGTGCCCCCACCCTAAGGGTCCCCCTCCTGCCGGGCTCTAGGGGGAGGAAGGGGTT